ATGTCACCATCCAAGTACCCATTTTAATCAGCCAAAACTGTCTTAACTACCCCATCTTAGGCAGTAATGTTATTGCTGAGATCATCAAAGTTAACAAAGAAACTGATGCTAATATTACAGGTCTGTTTAAAGAAGCTTTGAGTGTTAATGACAGTACAGTTGAAGCTTTAGTGTCAACCCTTGGGATTTTATCTCCAAGCAAAAATTCTATCGAGTGCAGTGTAAAAACAGGAAAAAATTGAGTAATGGTACTTGCTGGTCAGATTTGTGAAATTCGCTGTAGAGTAAGAGAATGGCCAGCAGGTGGAGCAATGCTATTTCAGTCCAACGTAGGAGACCATTGTCCTGATGGTTTAGAGCTTCTTCTGGCCTTAGTCGATGTTCCTAGTGGGTTAACAAAAACTGTTAAAATCCCTATTCAGAACACTTCTAGGCATGACATTTACCTTCCAAAAAGAACTGTTTTGGGGACACTAGAAGAAGTTAGTGAAGTCAGACGAGTTAACTCTTTTTCCCAATAGTGAAGAGTGCAAACCTTGCGTTAACACATGCTCTGTTAACCAGAGAAATGGTGACAAACAGCAAACGTGCCCCACCAAAGGACAAAGATGGCACCCACCTGTTGATTTGTCACATCTTAGAGAAGATGAACAGAAAATGGTAAGAGACACGTTGTTTGAGGAGTCAGATGTCTTTGCTAAAAGTGACTCAGACATTGGCTGTATTCCAAATTTGCAACTCAGAATTTATCTGACGGACAATGTACCAGTCCAAACATCTTACAATTCCTTTCCCAAACCATTGTACAAGGAGGTGAAGGAATATGTTCAGAACTTGCTTGACCATGGCTGGCTCAGGAAATCAACATCACCCTATTCCTCTCCAGTGGTCTGTGCCAGGAAAAAGGACATGACTCTGCATTTGTGTGTCAATTTCTGGGGTTTAAACCGCAAAACTATCCCTGACTGACATTCAACAGGTGCACTCTGGTATGAATCAAGATCAGAAGACTATTTAATCTGGACCAAGCCCTTGACAAAATGTCAGTGTGACTAGATCTGGACCGTTGAATTGTCTGTTGCTACCGCACCACCTCACCTGTCATCTCTCAGGTGAAGTGGTGCATTGAGATCAAAAGTTTAAAACTAGCTATGCAAAGAAAAAACTGATTAATGATGACAAACACGTCTGAGAGAAACAGCAGAGCAGCATGTTGCTCAGAGGATGCCACCACAACACCAGACAGGCCTGATTAGAATCAGACTGTCCTCAGTCAGAAGCACAAATCTGAAACAGCTGAGCTATGAAGCTACCAGTAGAATAAAGTTAGTACAGGACTGGGCAGGGAGTGAGCTTTTTACAGTGTAAAGTCCCAGCTCACAGTCAGTGGACAGCGAAGTATGTGTGTGTGTGGGTGTGATGTCCATCTTTAAACATTCAGACCTGATGACCTGGTTTCCAGACACTGTGTTTTTGAATAACTGTTTCATTGGTGCACAGTGAGGATGAAGCTCAGAGAGGAACCTGCTTCACGTTTCCTTTTAGAAATTTTAGGTTTTATATGGAAAGAGTTCCTGGACATGTACAGAAAGAACATGTACTTTTATAGAGGCAAATCTGGAGCCTTTCATACAATTATAAAGAGTTTTATAGACATGTGTTGTTATTTTATTTAGACTCAAGTCACCTTCAACAACCGGAATCACACCAGTTTGATCTGCATCAGCTTCTAAAGCCATTTGACACAAGTAGAGATGATGTTATTACTACTACAACTACACCAACACCGTAGTCCATAGTGAGGTTTAGTTTTCTTCAGATGCTCATTTTGCAAAAAGAAAAACATATGCTACCCTTTTATAGTTTGTCTCTGTTGTAATTTGTGCATTTTAAAGGTTTAACAAGACAACACAATGAAAAACTAATTAATTAATGGCTAATTTAATCACCACCCAGCTGGCACATTGTACAGACTAAGCACACTCACAGTTTATTTGTGCAGGGTGCCAGGTGCATTGTGGGTCTGGTTTAAATGTTGGAGGTGGTGATTGTACCTGTTAGTGATGGAGGTATGAGGCTTTCCTGAAGCCAGAAGATTCATTAGTAGCCTAACACCTGCTGGTACAGGTGAACGTGGACGACCTGCTGCTGTTCAGTCACCTGAGGCTGAGGATTAATGAAAACTGGGAGAACAGCACGAGAAACGAGGAGGATGGCATGGTGTGTTACCTGTGGCCACTCAGACGAGTACAACAACACACGTGCTTCAGGCTCCATGTGCGTTTCCTCTGTAGTGGATGGTGTTGGGAAAACTACTTTGAAAACTATCAATTAATTCACACTGGAGGAAGTTAAAGTACAACAAACAAGTTCAAACTCATTTGCAAAAAACAATCAAACTGACAATGTACATGTGATTAACCTGTGTGTTCACTTTGTGTATAACTATGCTATCATATTAGAAAAGGAACAGTTAAAAT